GGGGGAGGAGGGGGAGGAGGAGGAAGAGGAGGAGGAGGAGGAGAAATAAAAGGAAGGAAGGAAGAGAAGAAAAGTAACATGGGAGGGAAATGTCCCTATGCACACAGTCTGTCTTTACATGCTGATCAGAACATAAGATTCAATTCTAAGCAGTGGTGCACGCCTGTCATCCCAGCGGCTGGGGAGGCTGAGACAGGAGGATTGCAAGTTCAAGTCCAGCCTCAGAAACTTAGCGAGGCGCTAAGCCACTCAGGGAGACCCTGTCTCTAAATAAAATACAAAATAGGGCTGGGGGTGGGGCTCAGTGGCTGAGTGCCCCTGAGTTCAATCCCTGGTACAAAAAAAGAAAAAAGAAAAGAAGACAAAAAGATTCAATTGCAAAAAAGGCCGACTCACCAGAGAGAAGGTGTGCACACACCGGGCGCAGCAGGCCACCTCCAGGGCCCGGGGACCCTGTTTGCTTTTCTCTTTGTCAACCAGTTTCCTGTTGGGAATGGGAAGAGACAGTGAGAGACCCACCATAACTCTCCTTCAGGAGGGGCTGCGGCTGGGTGGGGGGCTGCCTGTAAGGCCAGCTGCTGGGAGGGGATGGAGCTGGTGCAGGGTCCCCCAGCCAGGCCCCTGGGAGGCACTTCCTCCTCTCCAGGCCTCCTTCACGCGCCCACACCCCAGTCCAGGGAGTGGGTGGGTCTCCAGCCCCTGGGGAGAGGCGGGCCTCCTTGGATTATCTGGAATGTTCCACAGGGAATATTTGTCTCTTCTCCTGCGTTTATTGATCTCTCCTCTGAGGTTTGCAGGAAATCGGGGACAGAGGGACCGCCCTCCGGTCCTTACCTCAGCTTTCTCTTCTCTTCCATGGTCCTGGGCTGGTTCCTGATGGCCTTGATCCTGTCCCTGGACGTCATGGGGATCAGGGATGCTATTAACTTTTGTCCTGCCAAAGGAGACACACGGAGATTCCTTTCTTTCTTTCCTTTTTTTTTTTTTTCTTTCCTTTCACAGGGTCGTAAACATTTTAAAACCTTCTGCTGATGTGAGATCACGTTCTTATAAAGAGCACAGGGAAAGAGAAAAACAGGGACCCGAGGACCCCCAAGTCCACGGTCGAGAACCACCAGAAGACCAAGAAGTCTGTTCAGACTCAGAGCCAAAGGAATCCACGATGGGGGGCTGTCTCTCAACTCAACCCTTCCCTCCTGTCACAAAAAGACAATATTCAGGGACGCCAACGGGATCCCGCCGCTCGCTCTGCCTGCCCATCTCTGTCCCTTCAACATCCACACACCTCCTTGGGCCCATGAGCTCCAGGCCCAAGTGACTTCTTCCCCTGACTATGTTCATCCACCCGTCCAGCCCCTGCTCCTCTCCACTAGCTCATGTTTCCATCTCCCATCAACGTGGTGGACAGGGCTGGTCACCTACCCGCAAAGTCATCCCCGATATGTGAACAGAATCCCAACTGTTAGCCCACCCCCTGTGCAAGTCCCCGAGCTCCCTCAGGACGGGTCCACCTCCCGGCCAGTGGGCAGGTCCCCGTTATCCTAAGCCGATCCCAAAGGGCCTGTCCCCCTTGCAGGTAACTGGATCCGTCACAAGCTTGGGACGTATTGTTGGCCAGTGTTCTCCAAGAGGTAGGCAGTTAAGAAGTTTCTGGAAAAGGGGTTTCTCCCTTCTATTCAAAGAAGCCCCAAACAGGGCTGGGGGCGTAGCTCAGTGGCACAGCTTTGGGAGAGGCTGGGTTTGATCCCCCTTCTAGAAAAAAAAAAAAAAAAGACAGACCGTCCCTTCCCACTCTGGATAGTCTTGTCTGCACGGGACACCGGCTGTCACTGTCTGGGACCATTGCTGGGGCCTGATGTGCTGGAGATGACTGAGTGGGTCGGGGAGCAGGCAGACTGGCTTCTTGGTCACGTCACTGAGCCGGAATTCCTCATGAGGACCTACCTCCTTTATTTCAATGACATAGTGGGGGTGAAGGGGAGATCCTCCAGAGGGCCACTGAATCACTCTGACACTTGTGTCGGGAAGGACAAGCCAAGAGGAAGAGAGAAGAATGGAGGAAAGGGGAAATAGAGAGATGCAGGCAGACAGTGAGGTGCCCCGTCTTCAGACGAGGGGCCAAATCCACCAAATGCTTTGACGTCATTGGGTTTTTTTCTTCTCCCCCCAGAAATCTGCTGAGAGCTGCTACACTCCACACCTGGAGCCGTAGGGGGTGAAGAAGAAACAGCACCTCCACGGGCCTCAGGAGCAGGGAAGCCGGGAGTTCTCCGCAAGATGGAGTTTCACCCTGAACTTGGCGGTAAGAGGCACCTTGCATGGTCCCTGAACCTTGGCGGGAGGAATGGGCCAAAGCAGGACGGCGGGAGGGTTAAAAACTCACGCTTGGCCATCGGGAAAACCTGCACGTAGCCCACCTGTGCCGGGTCACTGAACGTTGGGAGTCTCAGTCTCCTCATGGAGCACATGGAAAAGCCTGCCTCAAAGGTGGGAGGCTGGGGAATAAGTAAAACTGAACTTGACAGCTGACCCAAAGGACGAGTCCCCGGGCACCTCATAGTAGAGAGGTCTCCGAGTGAGCCCTGTCTTGGTTCCCCGCATCCTGAGTTCACCTTCTGAGCCTTGCACATTATTTGATGTCTTAAAAGTGAATTGGGAAGTCGTGGCGGCACACGCCTATAGACCCAGCAGCTTGGGAGGCTGAAAGGCAGGAGGATTGCCAGTTTGAGGCCAGCAACTTAGCAAGACCCCTGTGTCTAAATAAAAACAAAAATTTTTAAAGGTCTGGGGATGTGGCTCAGTGGTTAGGCACCCCTGGGTTCTATTCCCAGTACCAAAAAAAAAGAAAAAATGTAAATTGGGGGGCCAGGTGTGATAGCAGCACATGCCTAAAATCCCAGTAACTTGGGAGGCTGAGGCAGGAGGATCGCAAGTTCAAAGCCAGCCTCAGCAACTTAGCGAGACCCTGTGTCAAAAAAGTTAAAAGGGTTGGGGATGTGGCTCAGTGGTTCAATGCTGTGGGTTCAATCCCTGGTATAAAAAAAAGAAGAAAAAAGAGAAAAGAAAGGAAGGAAGGGGATTGGGAGGCTCCTCTGCTCCCTGCTCAGCAATCTCCCAGCAGATGATACCTTGAGCGGTTTCATGGGAGGCGCAAGGAGTGTCTAAGCCGGGGCATTCTGGGCTGTGATGGGTCTGAGACATCGATTCCTTCAACGCAGTTGACAACTGTAACAACTGGTGGTGCTTGGTGTCACTGCCACGTCGGAACACCTGAGAGTCCACCCTCTCGATGTCGGGGAGCGATGACACCCTGCCGAAGCCGGGCTTCACCCGTGTCCTTTCTGGAAAAATCTGATTGGAGGACGGACGGCTTTCGGCCCCAGACGGCACATTCTCCACCTCCACGACGATTTCGTTTACCCAGTCACCCGACAGCATCTCTCGCTTCCTGCTGCCTGGGTCCTGCAACCCAGGCGCGGTCTTCAGAGACCTCCCGCAGCGGTCACACCAGCCTGGCCCAGACCCAGCCGGGGGAGAGTGGCCGCCATCGCAAAGGGATGCTCCATTCACGCTTTTCCAAAGCCAAGACCAGACCACCGAAGCCAGCACCCCCCACCCCCCAACAACTCACAAGAGAACTCCCCACATCTGGCCCCCCAGGGGGGCTCTCCTCAGAAGGAGATGTGTTCTCCTGCAGAGAATTCTACCTTGGTAGCTAGGTAAGAAATTAGAAACAGAACCCTTCACTGGAGACAATGGGATTCTAGAAACAGAGGACAGACATTCTTTTGATATCTCATAATCGAAGGGCGACTTTCACAGCCAGCGGTGGCGGCACACACCTGTCATCACAGCAGCTCAGGAGGCTGAGGCAGGAGGATGGCTCATTTCGAGGCCAGCCTCAGCAACTTAGCAAAGTCTCTAAATAAAATATCAAAATGGGCTGGGGATGTGACTCAGTGGTTTTAAGTGCCCCTGAGTTCAATCCCCAGTTCCAAAAAAAAAAAAAAAAAAGGCAACTTGTTTTTTCTTTTTTTAGTTTAATTATTTGGTCTAGAACTTATCGTTTTATACATTTATATAAAATCCAGATATGTTGATACTGTTCCAATGATTCTCTCCTGACTGCCTCTGATGATGCACACAGCTGTCTGTCTGCTTCTCGGTATCCATTCTTTTTTCTCCCATGAGCGGGAATTAGATTTCCTGAGCGGACGTGGGATTCTCCCAGTTCCCTTTGCGGCTAAGGGTGGACAAGTGACCGACTTTCAGACATGTGACCTCAGGAATGCTCTTTAAAAGGGTATAGTGTACCTGGCTTCGCTTCTGCCCTTTACCATGCCCCCCTCTTGCACCTGGGGGGCACTCATCTGAGTTATTTAACAAGAGGTTAAATATCCACCTGCTAAAGATGGTGGAGAAAGCTACAGGGGAGTTCCAGTCCTCGAAGACATCACGGGAAAAAATACTTTGGACTTTCTCCCTCCACTCTTCTGGTTACAGGAGAAAAAACCAAAATCCCTTTTTTGCTAAATCCATTGTTCCATTTCGATGCCAGACACCTGAACACACTTCCCACCCGACAGGTTTAGACATCACCTAGGTCAGCTTGTTGACGGGAGAGGTGGAGGAGGGGTGGCGCAGAGAGAGGAACTGAGACCCCCTCCCGTCACACTCTTTAAATGGGAGGATTGGACTAGAACTCAGGAACTCCCACTAGTGAGGATAATTGACAGTAATGATTCCTGCCGATTCTGCAGGTCAAGTACTTTAAATAGAGCGTATCATTGCATATTCCCAATCACCCTGTGAAGTTGACAACTGTAATAACTGGTGATGCTCTTTAGAGCTGAGAAAATAGAGGCTCACCTGTCATCCCAGCACCTTGGGAGGCTGAGATAGGAGGATCGTGAGTTCAAAGCCAGCCTCAGCAATAGCAGAGGTGCTAAGCAACACAATGAGACCCTGTCTCTACATAAAATACAAAATAGGGCTGGGGATGGGGCTCAGTGGTGGAGTGTCCCTGAGTTCAATGCCCAGTACCATCCCCAGAAAATAGAGGCTCAACGGGGTTAATTTACCTGGCTCACAACCCATCAAGGAGTCATGCCTTGGTGGGTCTGAACCCAAAGCAGGGGCTCTCGATCACTTCACCTTGGCCCCATCCTGTTACAAGATGCCACTGCGTCATTCATTCTTTAATAAATGAATGAATATCTATGAGTGCCTACTGCATGCCAGGGGCTTCTGGGGGCACAGCATAATCCATCACAGTGACAACCCTGTCATGAAGCTGTCCACCAATTAATTGCACAAGGTTTGAAAATCGAAAGCAATGCAAGGCAAAAACAGCAAAGAAAGCCACATCTTCTATTTCTTTATTTACTTTTTGTATTTTTAGTTCCGGGACTGAACCCAGGGGTGCTTAACCACTGAGCCACATCCCCGGCCCTTTTTATGTTTTATTTTGAGACAGGGTCTCTCTAAGTTGCTTACAGCCTCTCTAAGTTGCTGAGGCCGGCCTCAAACTTACAATCCTCCTGCCTTAGCCTCCTGAGCCACTGGGATTACATGCATGAGCCTCCATGCCTGGCTCCCTGTGCCTTTTAAGTGTCCATCTTCCAGAGGCCCTGAACCTCATGCTGGCCCCACAGAGCAGTCTCCAGGAGGCCAAAGGCCTCCCTCTCACCAATGGTTAAAGCCATTCTGCACTCCAGTGAGTCTAGAGTGAGGTTGTTATTTATATCCGCATGGGTTTCCCTCCCAGGTAGCAACACCTAACCACTGTGAAAGATATGGGCCCCTTGAGAAGGTTCTGGAAGGATGAAGTTCAGGATTATCCATCGCCTATGGGGATAGACAGTCATGGAGTCCTCAATTTGCATTATTATGGAAAGATCCCATTAATCTACTCCTTCTGATTCACAGACTTAGCATTTTGGGGCCAGCATTCCTGTTTCCTTCTCCTCTGAGGCACGGTTACTTGGTCTCTGCCTCCAGTCAGATCTTTGGGACCCCTCACAGCCATCCTCCGCTTTCCTAACCGACTTCAAAGACTCCCATCTGTTATAGCCTGATTCCAACTCAACCGTCACATAAAATAGATGATCATTCAGAAAGAAAAAAAATGTTTTTTTTGATCAGTGCACCTTGTCCCCACCAATACAGACAATAGCCACAGGACAGACAGGTGACCCAGTCTCGTCTCCTATGACACATGGACTGCTCCGGGTGTCTGTGCTCCAAATAGGCTGGTGAGAGTCTCTGTCCACATGGATGAACGGACGGGGAGAAGGAAGGGCTAGCTGGGCTGAGGGGGGTCTGTGTGGCCCGTGGCCTGACGCTGAAGCTTACAGAGAAGCTGGGTCAAGCAGAGGCAAACACTGGACAGGCAATGAGTGAGTCCGGTGGCACCGAGCCCTGCGTTCAGATTCGGAGGACCTGGTCTCTGTAACTCCCTCGACAGATTAACCCAGCAGATAGCTCTAAAGTCCCTTTACCTGTCAGGCGCTCCACGCCCTTCCCACCACGTGAACCAGTAAGTTCCCTCTGGGCTACCTCCCTTTGGAATTGGGTTTCTGTCGCATGCAACCAGAAGATTCCTCATGCAGACACCTGGACACCCACAAGAGATAAAGCCACACGTCTAAAGACACCACCAAGGGCTGGGGGTGTTGCTCAGGGGTGGGGCACACGCTTAGCATGTGCAAGGCCCGGGCTTCAACCAGAACCCAGTACAGGGAGGGAGAGAGGGGGAGAGAGAGAGAGAGGGGGAAATGCACTATGCCAACTCAGCAAGCGTTGCCCCTACTCCTCCAGCCCAGGAATGGCCATTGCTGGATCTCCAAGTTGCCTTGAGCCGTCTCCTTCCCCAGGGCTGACGCTCCAGTCCTGCCCCATTAACTCTTACCTTCAGGTGACTTGTGCCAATCACCTTCAGACAGCGGTGGGTTTCCATAAGCACCGACAGGGCCACCTTCGCCCGCATACGCAGGGTTCACTGGAATGAAGAGGAGGAAGGCACGGCAGGTTGTTCCCAGGCCACCAAGGGTCCTGAGCACCAGGTGGTGATGAGGCACGAGCCCTAGCTGGTCACGGTCCCTAACACCGAGACCTTGTCTTGGAGGTTCCTACAGACCCATGGCTGGGAACTCAGGTGGAAAATAGTATAAAACCAGACAAATAATACGCTGGAGCATAATCAGCCTGGACCAATGGTGTTCTTTCGACTATAAACCATGGATCAAAAGAATCGTCACCCTGGGACCCGGGACACACGTACACTGACATAACTGAAAAACAAGTTTCAAAAAAACTGAGCGTTGAAGGCCTAAGCTGCATTCGGACATGTTCCTGCTCGATTCTGTTCTTTTCTATGTCGATTTCTAATTTTATTTTAATTCTATTTCACTGGAAAAAAAAAAAACTCTTTTTGCAACTTGGTAATGAGTTGCAACTCAAGAGTCTGAAAGATGCTCGCGGAGGTGAGGGCAAAGGTTCCTTCCAGGTGCAGGGCTTCCTGATGACGCACGAATGGACAAAATGTGGAGTACTTCCTCGGGGACACAGTCCAGTCTCAGCATGTACCTGACAGTGTCACATTTCAATATTTATTTCTGATCCATGATAAACATGAAAGGTAACCTCCTCCATTGAGAAAACAGATCACCTGTCGATGGGGACAGTGTGTAAAATTACATTGCGGAACATTCTGGAACTTCATGTTTGGGAATGATTCCCAGTCCTGTTCCTGACCAGCTGTTTGTTACTGGGTACGTTACTTAACATCTCTGAGCTTCAACATCTTAATCTCTACAGTAGAGGTAATAATATAACTTTCACATAAGGTAGTTGGAATTGAACCAGCTATTACATATAAAGTTATTAATCCTAGAACATAATAAAATTTTATTATGTATTAACTATTGTAGTTAATTAATTGCTGTTCAGTAAATATTATGCCTCACCCCACCTGAGCCACCTCCATTGATGTTGGGCTTGGTGATAGGATTTTTCTTTTATGAATATAACACAGCAGATGTGACATGGCAGTTCTAAACCAATGCTATAAAATCATTGGGAGTTTCTGCTTGCTGCTTCAAGCAAATCCAACTTATGCCATGGGAAGAAAATGTCCCCGGGTAGCTCACCAGTCCAAGAAGAAGGACATTAGGTCTAATCAGAACACATGACCTGGAGCCAAGCACAGCCAAACTCAACCCAGTGCAACCCAAACCCAGCCAATCCTGAAGACGTTAGTGAGAAATAAATTTATTGTATGTTTATGGTATGAGTCTGGTTTGGGGGATTGTTTGTTACACAGCATTCCTAGGGTGAGTGCTAACTGACACAATTCATGTAGTTGCTTCTATTAATTCAGTTAACATTACTCATACATCTAGTTTGTACCAGGCACTAGGAAAACCACCTAGAACCTTAGAAGAGACACACACAAATATGGGAATATGGCTTCTTCTCCTTTTCCTTCTCCTCTTTTTCATCTTTTACAATTCTCGGTATTGCTCTACCATGGTGCCACATCCCCAGCCCCGTTTTGTATTTTATTTTAGAGACAGAGTTTCACTGAGTTGCTTAGTGCCTCACTTTTGCTGAGGCTGGCTTTGAACTCATGATCCTCCTGCCTTGGCCTCCCCAGCCACTGGGATTCTAGGCATGCAAAATAGAAAATAAAAGGGCTGGAGATGAGGTTCAATGGTTAAGCACCCTGGAGTTCAATTCCCAGTACAAAAAAAAAAAGAATGGGTAGGTGATTGTCAAGGGCTACAACTTTAGTTGTACAAAGAAGTCCAGGGAAGGAAGCCACACTTGATGGCTTTTATTTTTTTTTTTTTTAAGATTTGAATTTCCAGTGTTCTCTACAGCTAGGTGGTCAGAAATCTGCATGTACCCCGCAGTATCCTCCGTAATGCAGGGCAAACAAAGGGCCAGGCTTCGAGCTGGAGAGCCTGGAATCCACTCTTGGCTCTGTGGGTTTGGTGGCTGGGTGACTCCCATCAGTCAAGGCAGAGTGGCAGGCTCTGGGTGGTGGCCGTGCAAGTAAATGAAAGGCAAGTGCTCAGCAGGGTCTCAGGGCAGAGAAAACCCTCAGACCTGCTCGGCACATTCCTCTGCCAGCAGTGTTTACTGATCTTTCTCCATTATCCACCCACCCTGGAGTCTTTGGAGTCAGTCCCCTCAATGCCCCCCCTCCCCCAGGAAAACTTAATACCACAGGAGCCTGTGTACCTATTTACGTATTCTCTGTGTGTCGGAGCTTTATAAAATAGTAAAAATAATAGGTTTAATAACAAAACATTAAAATAATATATTTCCCCTGCTCTATCCTTTCAAGAACAAACCGCCCCTCGGCTCTCCTCGGGATGACTACTGCCCTCTATTGAGAATGCACGGCACAAAGGTCTGGAATATTCCTGAGCTGAACAACTGAGGTTTGGGCTCCCAAATGGATATTTCCCATGCAAATGTGTTCCAGTCAGTGCTTCCCATTAGTACAGAGGGTCTCTGACTCATTATTGGATCTTTGGATTCTATGTGGGTGGGAAAGTGCTTTGCATGCGGTAGATACGGTAATGCAAATTTTGAATTTTGAGGGCTGGGGATGTAGCTCAGTGGTAGAGTGCTCTCCTGGCTGTGAGGCCCTGGATTCCATCCTCAGCACAAAGGAGGAGGAGGAGGAGGAGGAGGAAAGAAAGGGAAGGAGGAGGAAAGGAGGAGGAAAAGGAAAGGAGGAGGA